GGGGGGAAAGGAAGAGGGAGGGGGGGCAGGGTTGGGGGGACGCAGTGCATGCCGGGACGGCGGAGGATCGGAGCCGGGGGGACCAGCGCCCCCATTCGGCTGGAAGTGGGAAGACCTCTTAAAGGGCAAGGCGGCCTCGCTGAGGTCAAAGGCAAAAACTGGCAAATTCGAGGCCCGGCTGCGGGCTTAGCCCAACCTCATCCTGTCGCGCCGCGACATTTTAGCTCCCCCCGTCCCCAGTCCAGCACTCCAGAGAACCCAGGGAACATCTCAGTCCTATGGGACCCCCCACCCAGGTCAAGGGGGCTACCTGGGTGTTGGGTAGACGTGCAGCGATCAGGGAGCCCAGAGTCACCCCACCTTCCAGCCAAGAGACACAAACAGCTCCAGAAGGGAGCTGACAGGATCTGCTGTATGCTTGGACTGGGGAAAGGGGTCCTGAAAACGTCCCCATTCCCCTTCAATCAAAGACCTGAGGAAGCGAGAGGAGAATGGAGGGAAGGTGGCTGGATATGGAATGAGATGGATCCCCGATCCAAAACCACAGAATCCCAGACTGGTTCGGGTTGGAAGAGACCTGAAAGCTCATCTTGTTCTACTCCCTGCCGTGGGCAGGGACACCTTCCACTATTCCAGATTGCTCCAAGCCCTGTCCAGCCTAGCCTTGGACACTGCCAGGGGTCCAGGAGCAGCCACAGCTTCTCTGGGCACCCTGTGCCAGGGCCTGCCCACCCTCACAGGGAAGAATTCTTGCCCATAACTGCATCTAACCCTGCCCTCTGGCAGTGGGAAGCCATTCCTCCTTGTCTTGTCCCTCAAGGCCCTTGTCCAAAGTTCCCCTCCAGCTCTCTTGGAGTCCCTTTAGGCACTGGAAGGGGCTCTAAGAGTCTCCCCAGAACCTTCTTTTCTCCAGGCTGAGCATGGGATCTGGCTCCCACAGCTGTTCCCACCTCCACCCCAAGCCAGGAAACACTTCCCAGAGGCCAAGATCAGAGGAGCAGCGACCACTCCTCACAAATCGAGGTTCAGGAATCCCTGCCCATCCCCTGCTGATCTCAAGGCGATGGAGGCACCACCTTTTACCTCTCCAATGAAAAAATCCATTGGAGCTTAACTCCATTTTTCCTTTTAATGCAAAAAAATAGCCAGACACATCTTCCTGCCCTCCCCCCACCCTCCCCAGGTGTGTTTCCTTTGCTTAATTATTTCCAGCCAAGCAGCTCCCACCCTCCCAAACCTCCGCACCTCTGAGGTCACCCGGTGCTTTCCCCCTCCATTTTCCCAGTGTGGCAAAGCCCAAATGGATCTCCAACCACCGAAAAAAAAGAGAGAAAGTGGGAAAACAGAGGGGTGCACCATATTTCAGCAATGTCCCAATTCTAACCCTGTCAAGAGATTATAGGAAGAAAGAAGAAAAAATAATACAAAAATAAAACCACCAAACAAGAAGCGACAAGCACGGAGCAGCCTCAGCACACAGCGTAAACAGAAGCTGTCCTGATCCGAAATCTGGCTCTCCCAGAAAGCAACAGCACAACATGCTTTGTACACCCTTAAAGGTCCCTGCAGTGCTGAGCAGCCAAGGGGGAGGATCTGGGTTTGAGCTTGAGTTGATATTTTTTGCCTTATACAAAAGGCTGAAGTGATCTCGGAGTCTTCAAGTGGTGTTTGCAGCACCGAGCCTTGCCAGGCAGGGAAAGGGATGAGGGAAAAGTGCCATGGGAAGAGGAGGGATTGGGATACAGGGACCCTGAGAGAAGGTCCCAGGGCTTTGCAGCTGGGAAATCTGGACAAGGGAAGGGAGAGAGCAAACAAATACAAAAAAATAGAGATATAAAAACAATTTGTGTGGAGGAGGAGAACATGGACAGTAAATTCATTGTACTGTCAGCCTCCTCAAATCAAGAAAAATAATGAAAAATTCCATTTGAGGTGACAGTGAAGGGTCCGACAGAATTCCCTTTCCCTGGGGAAAATAAAAATACAAATGAAGTACCTGTTCCACCCCAAATCTGTCACCCCTTCTCACAGCCACATCCACACTCAAGTGTTATTGTCTCTCAAATAAAGTCTCCGGGCCAGGGCAGCCCTGGAGCAGAAGCACCGAGGCATGGCTAGTTCCTCCTGGCTGGGTTGTCCAGCAGAGATCCAGTCTCTCCTTGACCCTGCCACAGGTGGTATTGTTCAGTGCTCCACAGAGATGGAGCCTTATCCATGTCTCACATGTTTCTCCAGCTTTGTTTGAAGAAAAAAAAAAAAAAAAACTTTACATATACATATATATAAAAAATATACAGCACAATGAAAATATCCATGGTAACAAATGGGGTGGCTGGAAAAGATGCTTAACAAAAAAGCCTGAAATAAAACGAATTCCCAACTCTTCCCCTCACTGATGCCTGCCTTCCCCACTAGTCTTCCAAGACCACAATCTCCACATTATGGACCTGGTGCTGATGGTCTTCCACATCTCCCACCACTTTCTCTTCAGTCCTCAGCTCTGTCTCCAGGATCACAGCTTTGCCCTCTGATTCGTCTGTGTCCGCCTCAGGATCCGGCGCCGGGTCGATCTCTATGATGGTCTGCCCATCGTCCGAGGTACCTTCCACAGCTTGGATGGTGGAAGTGATGCCAGACTCCATGGCCACCAGTTCGACGGGGTTGACCATGGTCGCCACGTTGGCCAGGGCCCCGGTGTCCTGCATGGCTGCTGAGCTCAGCAGTGCCAGGCTGGAGGACGGGTGCAGGGTGACGGTGTCCGAGGAGCTGGTCTTGGAGGATGAAACCACGGTGGCATATCGGAAGAGCTGGGAGCCAGATGGCAAGGTATGAACAGTCACCGGGCTGGAGCCTTGGCTGAGGGTTGCCACTGGGATGTTGCCCACAGAGAACTGTTGTCCAACGGGCGCGATGGCGATGGGGGAGATGACAGTGAACTGAGGCTGCTGGATGGGGGTGGAGGGGCTGAGGATGGTAGCTGAGGCTGGGCGCTGCAGACGGGGTCTCTTGGGAGGCTTGGGAGTGCTCATGGGCATGAGCACCACATTCTGGATGGTTTGGGACTTGGACTTCTGGTCCCTGGCAAGTTTCTTCTGTTCTTCCAGCTGCCGCTCCAGGTCTGCATAGGGAATGGTTGAACAACATGTCACGTCAGGGTAAATAAGAGCTCCTGGGGCTCCAGAACCAACCATCACTCCTAGGTTTGTGACCAGAGGTCACCCAACCACCCAGTGAGTCTGATCTTGGCTTCTCCCTTGAGATCAAATGGCACTGAAGGAAAACAGTAGCCACCTACATAGACCTGGTCAGTGTTCCAGCTGCCAGCGCCTGGGTAAGACACAGGTAACATTCCATACATGTTGGCTACTCCTACTGACAAGGAGATGGACATTTCTGCTCCCCACAAGCTAAACCCCCCTGCAAGGGAGAGGGGACCCCCCCAGGCAGTTGGAATTGCTTCATGAGCTTGGCTGGGTCACCTTCCCAGGAGCCAAGCACCTGCACTGGGGACAGCCAGTAGGATGCCTGGGTCAATGAAACATCCTCGTCAACGCTTATCAGTGGGAACACTGGGAGCCAGAAGTAGCACAGTGACCTCATTTATCCAGGGCAGTAGGGGACTAGAGCATCTCAGATAACAAGAGATTCTACAGTACATGATGAGGAGGGAGACACATTCAGTGAGCAGCTCTGGGGATCCCAGGTCAGTCAGTGGCTTCAGCTCAGGGAAACTGAGCAGGACACCCAATAGCACTGTAAGACAAGCAAACAGCCCTGATAGCCAAGACAAGCAGAAGCTCAGCACCCTGTACTCAGCAAGGCTTATTAGCTTGGGTACAGCACAACACTGTCCATGGCTCAGGTGATCATGGCACAGCACTGAGCTGGCATGTCCTGTCCCTAATCCTGAGGGAATTGGACTCATGCCTGCAGCACGCCCACTGCAGCAAAGGGCACAGACTTTCAGTTGTCCGACGTCCCAAGCAACTGCTCTTTGTGAGACAGGGGAGAGAGGAAATTCCACTCAAGCCATATGACAGAAAGGGATTGGGATGCACTTGTTTTGGGGCAGCCTGAACACTAACGCTAATTAATTGAGGAAAAGGAAAGTCATGTCCATTCCCAAGAGTAGCAGCAAGATGTGAACTCTTGTTAGGCACTTTACCTGCCAGTGTGTAAAGAAACTGTTCCTCTCCTTGCTCTGTCTGGTTTTTCCTGTTGTCCAGTACCTTCTTGACTGTGTCCATTAAGCCAAATGTATGGGCGACATTGTTCAGGACTGCAGCATCTCCAAGGAAAGGACACAGGGATGTTAAGACTTGGGCACTCAAAAGATGCTCCTGTTACACCAAAAATTTTCTACCGCTTTTTAAAACTCTCTCTGTTCTTTCACAAGGGCTAGCTGAAAAAAAGGAAACCCAACTCCCTCATCCTTCTGACATTCTAGAATTAAATAATCCCATTCACATGATAAAGCAAATCACAGACCTGTGTCACTCAAGCAGCTCCTAATTGCTGCAAATGAAAGTGTAATTTGCAATCACAGAGATACAAATGAGCTCTCCACCTACAAATCATCACCTCATGCTCTTGACAATGTCATTAACATGCCAAGCCCCACTGAAAGCTGTGCAAAATATCTGTTATAATCCACTGACTTCAATCACTCATAGTTCCCAAAATCTGACACCTATCAGACACAAAGATGCACCAGCCCAAAGTTAAATTAGAAAATTAAAAAAAAAAATCCTGGATAAAATGAAGTTTGTGGCTACATGGATGTTCTCCCAGGAAGAGCATCAAAAAAAGGTGTTCACAGGGGCATGTGCCGAACCAGATTAGGAAGCCTGTTACAAGTTAAAAATAACCCTAAAAAGGAGAGAGGGATTTATTTTTAACCCAGATAATTCCCCTCATCTGGTTCAGCCCCCAAAATAGGTTTTCTGGCACCAATGAAAGCAGAAAAAGAAGTGAGGGGGCAGGACCTGTTTAGGCCTGCAGTGTCACAGAGAAGTGTTTGAGTAACTCCAGTCCAAGTGACTCTGCAAAGCTTCCATCAGGGCTGGGAGCTGTGGACAGTCATCTGATGGTCCGAGCAAGCTGCCAGGGTCACTTTGCTCAGGGAACAGGATAGAATGGTGTATCCTAGTGCTTTGAAGCAAAGGCACTTCACAGCTGGGCATGCTGAGAACACAGACTATGCTCCCACAACTCAGCTAATGAGGGGGAACTCACTCCCCATCCTGACTCACCAGCTTCACATGGTGGAATGGACCCTTAGCACTGTTTTTTTTTTGCTTGCAACTGCCCTTTTGAGGCTTTTTCCTCACAACATACCTGTCATCAGGAAGGGAGACTGACCCAACCGCTGCTGCACACCTCTTAGGACTTCTTCTATTTCCTTTTGGATGTTGCACACCACCTCTTCCATCAGCCCCACATCAGCTATTCCTTTCCAGAACATCAGTGTGTCCTCTGGCACAAAAAGGAGGAAAAGTCAACATATACAAGCATTTGGCATTTTTCCCACAGGGCCACTTTAAACCTCTCAGGCAAGTGTATCTTTTCCAGGTGACTACCTTCGCAAGGTAGCTTGGCTACTGGGGTGCACAGGACATGTGAAAAAAATAACCAACCCCAAACCAAGGAAAATGGACTCAGGCAGCAAATCAGGAACAGATTTCTAAGCAAGTCCATGACTTCCAAGACAACATTTCACATTTTTGCAAGATGCAGAGCTTAAAATCATCATTTGAGGAAATTCTAGCTAAGCTTCCATACTGATACAACAAGGGGATGGAAGGCCAGAGAGACACAGAACACAGAGTTGACAGGGAACAAACATGACTCTGCTCCTTGTTGGTTCCAGCCTAGCTCTAGGCTGGCAGTTGTGTTTCACATCCTTGGAATAAAACAGAAAAACCCTCACTGCAACCAGTAACATCTGATCTGAGGGATTATCCATCAGCCATGAGGCCAGGGCCAAAGTTCTACAGGGGTGAGGAGGTCCATTGGCAGAAAGCCTGGATGCCTGGGTAATGCTGGAGATCCAAGAGGCTGAGGGACAGCTTTGTCATTGCCCAAATTTTACTTATTTGCAAGATTTAGGTTTCCAACATGTAACAGGGGAAGAGAGGAGAAGAAAACACCCAACAAGCAGCCTAAGCTTACCTGAAATCTCATCCGTGTCCTTTTTCATACCTTCCTCAGTGGCCATGGTGACAGCAGCTGTCAGAGCCGAGTTCCACTCTATCCCCTCCTCCATACTCTCCTCCGACAGCGCAATCTGGGTGATGCTCCCTGCCAGAAAGCCCCCATCAGCTCCCTCTGACAGCCCGAATCCCTGCTCTGCTTCCCAACCCCTCAGCCCTCCCCAGGCTCTCTTTCACTCTTTGGGTCAGGTTTGTGCTTGCCTTCTTTCAACCAAACCAGTTAAAAGCAAATATTGCTGCTTCTCATTGGAACTGTGACTGTGAAAAGTTCTGGAGCTTCTGGAGGGAAAACCATGTGCCTTGCACGGTGGAGTCCCAGCTCAAGGGAGCAGAAAGGGATCAGAACAAAGAAGGGAACAAATAAGGCTCAGCCCAGCCACCCTTCTCCCCTTGCTTCATCCACAGGACGCTCTGCACCCCTAATCCCTCACAAAATGGAGCTAGGGTCTGAGCTGGTTTATAAAAGGGAAATGGATCTGACACAATTCAAAGTTTCTGGATCAAATTTGGGACTTACCAATGTGCAGCCACTGTAAGTTGGCTATGGTGCTTTCCAAGAGATTCTCCTTAGCCTATGGACAACTCTGCCATGTCACTCACCCAGGGGCTCAGAGAAATGTAACCCACCCAGCTTAACGACGGGGTACAGTTGGGAATAGTCTTCTCCCTTAACCTCAGCAAAGAGGTCAGTATCTGCACGGGAGCACAGGATCACTGAGAACTTGCAGCTGGAATGACAATCAAATCATGTCCAACCACCACATCCTGTTCATGGATGTTCTGAAGGAGGACAGAATTTCTAAGTTCACTCCTAAGACCAACTCATGCCTTTATAACAGACTCACAAATGGGAAATACATCGGAAAATGCTGTGCAAGCTCTCACAAGTATTTGCTCCCATGATGATCCCAGAACAAAGATCCCTGCAAGGCTCTCAATCCTTCTCCTGGCTATGAAGGCTGCCTCTCTGGAAAGCAGCTTCTTGATGCTAGCTGTTTTCCAACCTTCCCAGTCCCACAGAGCAGAACCCTCTGACAAATGCTGACAAGACTTCTCCAAACAGACACGAGAAGTATTTTCCTTCCCAGAAACCAGAGCAAGCTCCTGGTGGGACTGCCCTGATGTGCCCGGGAAGAAGGTGTAAAGTGTATGTAGGAGGGAGAGGAGCATCAGAGGGAAGTTCCCATGGCATTGGTAACTGGTTTCCTACCATCAGCTGAGGTTGGCGTCTGCACCACACTCTGCTGCCCTGGCACTGGTGCTCTGGCACTGCTGATCAGGAGATCAAACTTGGTGCTTCGACAGGTGTTGGTGCAAACTTTGTCGTGTTGGTAGAAGTCAATCTGCCCTGAATCCATCATCTTCCTGTGCAGGGAGTGGGGATAGAATCAGGCTCAGCTGAAATCTCAGCCTAGAGACAAAAGGGAGTATTCCACCTGGGAATGCTACAGTCATGGGAAGGAAAGAGAAAGGGAGATCCCAGGGCCACTCTGCACCCAAAAAATCTCCTGCAAGGCTTTCAAATGGCAAACACAAGAGACCCCCAGTTTCACACACACGGTTTCAGTCCTATTCCACCCCAGGTTCCCCAGGTGATGCCACTTCTGTCCAGGGTGAGGGATCCTGACCCTCACATCATGGAGCTAGGATCTCTTCAGGCTGCTGGCCAGTGGGCCTCCAAGAGGCCTCCTGGAGACTGCAAGGCAGACAAAATGCCTGCTGGGGGTCCTGCAGCTGCAGGGGTGGAGCCCTGAAGTTGGACAGAGGTCAAATACCTTAGCATGATTCCTCCAAGGCGAATGGCTCTCTTCCAATCCTTCAGGGTAGACTTCCCAGCCAGGTGAACAAAGTGCTTCGGGCTAATCAGTTGGTCATTGAACTGGCAACGAGACAAGCAAAGGCTCAACAAACTGGGTAATATCACTTGAGAGGATTGGAACATCCAACACAGCTCATCTGAGCCCCCACTTCCACCCAGAGAGAGGAGGAGCTGCTTCTCAGATCCCTGCCAGCTTTGATCCCCTGGGCACAGCAATGCTCACAGCTCCAGGAAGCACGTCTGTAGGGATGACCTGCCAACCACAGGCTTTCACAGCCCTAACCAAAAACAGCCCTGAAGGGTTTATATGAACCAAATCATCTCCTATGAACATGTACGGTCATTTTGGAGATCATTACAGGAGGTTTCTGTTACATCCAATGCCCCAGCAGCATCCAGCTGACACAGGTCTTCCCTTGAGCATCCATTCTGCCCTGCTCCAGTGACTTGAGTAGTTCCTGCTGAGGAGCAGGAGCACAAGGGACTTGGCTGTCACACTGCCATGCTCTCATGTGGGAAAACGTAATATCAGGATTTCCCTTCTCAATGCAACCTGCTCACCAAGGAAGTGCCAGGAGTGGAATACCAGGCCACCAAGGAAAAGGGAGGAGGCAAAGCTCTGCCAGATCTCAACACACATCTCCTGCCTGCCTTCAGCCCTTCCTCAACAGCAAATACCACTGAAATACAGAGTGATATCCTTCCCTCCTTAATCCACTCTTTCCATGCTTCTCCCCATCAAAAAACAACTTTGGCACCAACAATCCAAGGACTCAGGATGAAACACAAAAACTAAGGAATTCCTGTGGAGGCCAACCAGCCCACCTGAATAGCAGAAAGGAATCCACTGGGAGTCTCTCCTTTACCTTCACACACTTGACATTAATTCCTGGACAAACAAACTTCTTCCAGAGAAGGATGGCTTTGCTCTCCCCACAGGTGATGGGATAGGCGATCTCGATTTCCTCACTTGTTTCAAGGGTGCTGGGGTCTGAGGGAGGAACGGCTCAAAATGAAACTCTCCACCCAAGAGGCTCCAATCCCACAAGGTGGGAGCTGGAAGCTCATAGGTTATGAGACCTGCACTTGGGAAACCAAAAAAAAGGGCAGATCCCAGTTCAGGATCAGTCCTCTCCATGTTCTCAGAGTTAGTTCAGATTAATTCTAACAGCAACTGACATCTGCTTTTTGGTGTAACAATGCTGCAAACGAAGCTCATCTATAAGGAAACATTACATGAGAAATCCAACGCATCTGTAAGGGGGGAGGTGTCAATGAGAACAATCTCAGTAGCAAGAAAATGGTTTAAAATTTGAAGATATCTCTCAGATTCTTGCAGCTCTGGTATCTCTTTAGCAATGATATCAGATATTTACTGATAATATGTTCTCTTAACGTGCAGAGTTTCTGCTAATCCTGCCAAAAGACCCAAACCAACACAGGAAAGCAGAACTCTAGTCAAGATCTAGTGACAGCATACAGTGACAGGAGCCTTTTTCCACACACTGCTCAGGATGGGAGAGAGCAGTTGGAGCCAACCTGCTCAGTTCTTATGAACATCCAATCCAAACCATCAGACAGCTGGTTCAGCAAAGACCCCACAACTAGAGCCTGATGCTTCAGCCACCACATCCTCATCACTATCATTCCTGCTGCCAGTGTATGCACACTAGGACTAGGGTGACATCCCGGCTCTCCTGGACCCCATGGGAGCCCTTTACCATTCATTGAAGGAGAGCCATGATCTCACTTCCAGGACTTTGAGACCAAGCAATAACAGCAGAGCACGGCCAGCCCCTTTACCCATATCCATGCCTGGGAATCAGCATCTGCAGGGGCAGAGCCAGAAGGAAGCCCAGCAAACTGGAGACACAAGCCCTGCACAGGAGGGGATTCATCCACACCAAGTGAAAACTCACCAATCCCTTCTTCCAGCTTGTGGATGGTGTGGGTTTCCACGGCCACCACAGCGGCACTGGCCTCGGAGCCCTCTTGGTAAATCCTGTGGTGAAAGGATTTGGAAATCCTTGGTTTATGGCCATCCATAAACAAATTATACAAATCATGGGAAATCAGGATTGACAGCACAGGGTTAAACAGTTCAGTAAATTTCTTTTTGCCTGTCTTCAAGGGACATTAATTTTGTCTGATACAGTTTCAATCACCAGGAATTTTTTTGGCGAACACTAATTAAACAAAACGCTAGTAATCCCAAGGGTTGACAGATGCAGAGGCATTCCCAGTGCTGTCATCCCACCCTGCACTCTGCCAGCACCACTGAGGCAGCTCTGCAGGCTTCCCTGTGCCTTTTCCTCTGCTTTCGGTCACCCTCAACAACAGGAAGCAAAGACCAGTGTCCCAGGATTTCCCTTCCAGCCCCGTGTGGCACTGCAACACAGATGACCACAAAGGGAAGTCACTGGCAGGCCCACAGCCACCCTGCCCTGCAAATATGATCAAACTAGAGCAAGTTTTTTTCCATCCTGATTGATCCAGAGGGAAGATAAAGCCACTCCCTGCAGCACGTGCCAGGGAGCTATAAAATTCCCTGACATCCCAGCCCCACTTTATTTTAAAAGAGGATTATTTTAGGGGAGGGCTGGCACAGAGGCACATGAAGGCCTGAACATACAGACCACCACATCCAGTGGCTGCAGTGTGGCAAAAACCAACCCTGGGACTGGAGAAGGAAGAGAGAGACTGAGACAGCACTGCTTCCACGATCTGGGAGCACTGTACCAACACAGCCTCGCAGGACAATTTCAGCACTTGGAGGACCCATCGCAACCACACACACAAAAGATTTAATCTGTTATATTTTCTCTCTCCCCAGTGTGACACAAAACTGACGCAGACCTGGAAACCACAGTGACGCTCTGTCCCCGCGCCACAAAAACCCAGAGGGCTCCCCCCATCCCATCTCGCACCTTCCAGGTAGTACCATCCTACTCACCCTTGCTGCACCGGCTGGAGCTGCAAGATCACTTGGGTTTTGGTATCCTCTGGGTTCTCCCCTTCATTCCCGTCACTTGGTACAACCACCACATCACCCACAGGGACGCTCACCTCGGCATTCGCCATCTCTCACATGAACCTGGCAAGGTTTTCTCCTCCCTGTGGATCACAAGAGCTGGGAACAGATCCCAGAGGCAGATCCCCCCAGTGTCATCCCATTCATAACTTCCCCAGCCAGCAGCTCTCTCCAGCTCTGAACCCCCAACTTGACACCAAGGAACAGACCCACATCGGTGGGTTTTGGCAAGAGTGTGTTTTCAACACAGAGCTTCTCCTGCTGGTCCTGGCCAGCAGTGCCTTCAGCCACTGCTGGAATGCTCTGGTCCACCCATGGCATGCTCTGATCTCTCACTACCAGGAACATGCCTGTGGGTGATCCTTCCCAGTAGAAGCTAGTGTCAAGGTGCGGTGCTAATGCAGAAGGACCTGACAGGGAGCCGCAGAGAAGCTGCACTCCCAGGGGATGTGCTCATGGTTGCGCACGAGGCACAGAGGTGGTTTGGTTACAGCGTGCGGCTGGAGGTCATCCCTGCAAGCCTGAGGTCTACAATCTGCTGGGAAGGCCAGTCCCAGAATCGTGGAATGGTTCCGGTACAAAGGAACCTGAAAGCTCATCTCGTCCCACCTCCTGCCATGGGCAGGGACACCTTCCACACGACCAGGCTGCTCCAAGCTCCATCCAGCCTGGCCTTGGACACTTTCAGGGATGGGGCAGCCAGCTTCTCTGGGCAACCTATGCCAGGGCCTCACCACCCTTCAAAGGGAACAATTTCTTCTCAATATCCCATCTAAATCTCAGAGATTTCAGGCCAGGATCTCCTGGCGGATGACAATAGTTTCGATATCCCCTGGTTGCGATACACCAGGACAAACCTGGGGAGCCGCCAACACAGGGCCACGCGCCCACCCGGCTCCAGGCGTGGGACTCCGGCGGTTTCCCGCACCTCATCCCGCTCCGGGGGACAGACAGAGCCATCCAGGACCCCTCGAGAGACGGCAGGGCTTCGCCAGCATATCTGGCGCGGGGGGGTCAGCAGGACACGGAGAAATTGCGGCGGCGATCACGCCGAGGCCTTAAGCGAGAAGGAGGGGGAGCTACCCAAGGGAACCCCCCGGCCCCCGCGTGGTCTCCGTGCTGCGGCTCGGGGGTCGCCGCCTCCCCCGCGCTGGGGTCGAGGGGTCACGTGACATGGGGCCCGCGGGACCACCCCGCGGCGCGCACGGCGGCGAAGGGGCGTGGCCTGACCGGGGAGGGGGCGTGGCCTCGCCCCCCCCTCCCCACGGCGCTGGCTACCCCCCCCCGCTACCCGCCCCGCCCCGCCCCTTCGCGCCGCATGGCCCCTCCCGGCCCCCGTAGCGCGGCGCCGGCTGGGCCTTACCGTCGGCGAGCGGCCGAGACCGGGGGCTGTGGGACGGGGGAACGGGGGGATGGGGAGGGGGGGAGGCGGGCCGGGCAGCAGCAACGCATGCGCAGTACCCGCCGCGGCCTCGGCCGCCAGCACTTCCGGCCGCCGCCTGCCTTAAAGGGGCCGACCGGTGAAGCACGCGGCGCTTTGCTGCTCTCTGGTGGCCGCCGGCAGTATCGCCTTCGCGGCGTCACCCGCCAGCCCAAGCCACCAGTTGCCGGCAGAGGTGTCACGACGAAGTTCGCTCCCCACTGGTCACAGCAGCGAGTCGTGGAACGCGCTACCGGGCATCTCCCGCCCCAAGCCAGCCCCGGCGGGACCACCGGGACCTCCCACGGCCGGCCCGTCGAATCCCCCACTGCCCCCGCCGTGCGTCCTGGTTGACGGACAACGAGGCAGACCAATGGTGACGCGGAGTCGGGCGGCGACCGCCAATGGGCGCAGGAGGGCGGTGCCGGGGCGACGGCGCTGCGGAGCCGCGGCCGGGCCGGGGCAGCGGCGGCGGCGGGAGCGGGAGGAGAAGGATGAGGAGGATGATGATGCGGGCGGGCGGCGGGGCGGCCCCGGGGGCCCTGGCGCTGGTGTGCCACTGCCTCCTGCTCGGCCCTCTGGGGCTGCGTTCGGCCGGCGCACAGGACGGTGAGTTCTGATTGCGGAGCACCGGCGGCGGGACGTCCCACACCGGGACGCGGCACCGGGAGCCCCACTCCTACCGGTACTCCCGGAGCTTCTGCTTCGCTCGCCAGGATGGGACCGGAACTTGGTGCGGTATGGGGACTGGGAAGGGGGACCGGACGGGCTCGCCTCTGCCCCGGGATGGTCCGGGACAGGCTCTTCGCTGTGTCTGGACCGGGATCAAATCAGGATGGGCTCCCGGGAACGGTTCCCCTCTGTGACCAGAGCACACCACACCGGCACAGGGTCGTAGTGGTGCGCCTGCCCCGGTTCCTTTCCTGAACGGAGTCTCTGCCATCCCTCTGTCACGGTACCGACCCGGGACAGGGTCCCTGGTATCCCTTCGCTCCGGTACCGACCCGAAACGGGATCCTCGCCATTCCTCTGTCCCGGTACTGGACTGAACGGGGTCCCCGCCGTCCGTCTGCCCTGGTACTGGTCCGGGACGGGGTCCCCAGTATCCCTCTGCTCTGGTATCGGACGGGTCGAGCTCTGTCCCTGCCCCCACCACCCCCGCATCACGCCCATTTTCCCGCAGCCCCCCCAGCCCTCTCTGTCCCTGCCCCCGGGGGTGACCACGCCGGTGGTCCCGAGAGTCCCGCGTTCGGCTCCATCCCGCCTTTCCTGGGGAGCCCCTAATCCACAGGTTAAGAGAATCACTGGAGTTTACATGCAGAGCCGGGCAGTGGGCTCCATCCCGGGAATGCCGCTCCCGGGGGGATTTGTAGCCGCGGGGTCCAGGACGACCTCGAGGAAATGGTCACCCAAATGTGATCCCAAAGTTCGTGTTTCCCGGTGTCACTCGATCCCAGTTCATCCAAGAGCGAGGAAACAACGATGGGTCATCCAAAGCATTATTCTCCCCGAGGGGAAACTGAGGCACGAGGACCGGCTGGGATCACTGGAGGCAGAATCCCGCTACATACCCGCTACATTCCCGGTCAAAAAGTGTGATTTGGGGCACATCATGCAACAGGTTTCCACCGGATCCCCAACCCACTGGTGGACACGGGGGAGCTTTCCCGGGGCCAGCAGCATGACAGAGGCAGGGATGTGCAGGGCTTTTGTCGGAGCATCGCCCTGTTGTGTCTTTCTTGCATCCTGTGAGAAAACAAACAAATCCTTGGCAGGAATGATCCCAGCGGGGCCCAGCTGCGAGTTCACCCTCACCCACCGGAAATCCAGTTTTCACATTTTTTTGGGAGGGGAGTAAAGTTTCTGTGGCTGGGGGTAAGTCCCCCGTGGTTCCCCCTCTTGGCTATTCCTGGCCCCTCGGTGTCATCTTTGGAGCCAAATTCCCAGGATTGCCTGCAGCTCTCAGTTTATCTCTGGCATTCCCTCCCAGCACGTGCTGGTCACACTCAGGATGTTTTTGACAAAGATTTCCTTTCCTTGGATGGGTTTTTCCTGGAATGGATCCCTGCAGCTCCTCTGCACCACCAGTATGGATATAGAGCTGGGGGGATCCATCCAAGACTCCCCAGTTGGGCTCACATGTCCAGCTGTCCTGGCCATAGAGGGTTTTCCCTGCAGATCCTAGTGGCTTTGACTTTTTGTGCTAGAAACTCCCCCCAAAAACCCCAAATTTCTCTCCCCCAGCAGAGCACACCTTCTGGGAGCTATTGTCCTGGCAGCCCTAGGGTCCCCACTGCCCCCCCAGCCCCCATCTTGGAGGGCCTGATCCTTCCCAGCTCTGCTCTGTCAGTGGACACTGCCCAGAAAGGGGAAAAGTTGGTGATTATTCCCAGTCCTGCAGGATAAACCTCCCCCGGTTTGGATGCAAGCCCTTCCCACAGGCTGGGGAGGAGGGGACTCTGTGCGGGGGCTGGCATCTTTCACCGCCAGCTCCCCCCTTTTTTATCCCTGCAGGATTTTCCCTTGCTGGCGATTTGTGTTGTCTCCCAGCGACAGCGAGGGGAGCCAAGGCTGGGCAAATCTGTGCCCACCTTCATTTTTCTTTCTGGCTGTGCCAGGGTGATGCTTGGCAGGAGCAACAGCTTTTGGGGGATGTGAGGAGGAGGTGTTGAGCACTGGACCCCTACAAACGCCTGGCCCACACAGTGGGGCTGAGTGGTGCTTTCCCCCTTTCCTTGCACCCCAATCCTGCCCAGAAATTATGGCCAGGTCTCAATGCCTGGTGCTTTCAGCTTATTTCCAGGATATTCCCTCATGCCCAGAAGCAGTGAGCCCAGAGAAAAGCCCTTTTTGTGGTGAATCTGGCATCACCCTGGGAAGGATGCAATGGGGATGCAGCTGTCCAAGGTTGTCCTCAAGGTCAAGGCTGCAGTCAGGGGTTCTTGGGGGCTGCTCAGTACTGTACAGCCCCATGGAGTGGGGATATTCTCTCCTTGAATCCTTTTATATCCCCCCGAATTGGGGTTCTCCTGGACTGGAGGATGTAGAGGAGCTGGAGGTAGAGGGTCATGCTGGGTGGCTGTGGGGGAAGCTATTGGCAGCTTCATCCCTGGATCCTCCTGTGGACAGTTCCCAGTGCCAGAAGCATCCAGAAAAGCCACCAGAAAATGATGCTTTGGATGAGGAAAACATCTGAAGAGGCTGCAGGTGCCCAGGGGTTGTTCTGGGGTCCTCACCAAGGGGAGAAACTGAGGCAGGGAACAGCCTGTCTGAGCACTCTCCCCGGTTCTCTGCAGGAAATGGCTGTGGCCACACACTGCTGACACCCCACAGTGGCACCCTGAGCTCCAAGAACTACCCGGGCACATATCCTAACCACACCATGTGTTGCTGGCGGCTTCAAGCCCCCCCAGGTACCTCCCTACTCCTGGCATTCGGGGATGTGGATCTGGAGCCCTCGGAGCAGTGTGCCCACAGCTCCTTGCTGCTTGCTGACCCCCAGACCGGCACTGCCTACGGTAAGGGGATCCTGAGGGAACTGAGGCAAGGGTGATACAATGTTGTGGATTGGGAGAATATCGGGAAAATCTGGGGGTTTAGCTGATTTCATCATGGGGAGGGAGAATATCTAAGGAGGGGGGTAACCAAGTGGGGCAATATCCAAGGAGGGGGGTTTTCAAGGAGGGGGTATCCAAGGAGGGGAATATCAGAGGATGAGGGGTATCTGGTATCTGACGAGCGAGTTATCCAAAGAAGAGAAATATCCAAGGAAGGGGATACCTGAAGAGTGGGGGTACCCAAATAGAAGAGTTGATATCCAAGGAGGAGGATATAGAAGGAGAGTTATATTTGCAAATGGGAATATCTGAGGAAGTGGGTACCCAAGGAGAAGATTATTGTGAAGCTTGGGGGGGAGCTGCCCAGCTGGGACCAGATGCAGTCACTGAATAATTAATTTGTTGGCCCAGCCGTTGTCCAAACACTTCCAGGATTTTCCCAGACAGAATTAATGGTCTTGGAGGCATTTGGCAGCACTGGCAACATGATGAATGCTGAGGAAAACATCTTGGGGGTGGGGGGAAGCATCAAGTGGTGGGGTGGGATGGAGGAGCAGCCCTGGTGAGGGGCAGGGGCTGGACAGGAGATGCGATGGGAAATGCAGGATGAAAAAGAGCTGGCTTGGATCCATGGGACTGGGAGTTTTCCCTGTTCTTCAGGGCTTTCACCCTTTCTGGGCTGGTCCCCAAAGGGGTGACAGCGCACGAGGTCCCTGGTCCCCATCCCCTCTGCTGTGGCCTCAGGGACATAATTATCCTCAAAGCTAAGAGACATCCTGGCCCCACGCTGAGATGCAGCAATGTGGGAAAGTGGGGGGACTCCCAGATGAGGTCTTGGGGTGCTGGGGGAGGTGGCCAGGCACCCACAGCCCCTTTGGGTACCACCAGAGCCATGCCAGCATGACACAGAGCTTGGATTCCACTCCCTCTCCCATGGCTGACGCTGGTCCTTGAGAAGTTCCAGATGTTTTCTGGGAAGTGGCTGGAGCAGGCAGAGGCTGTGGGCTTCTTCCCTGACTCAGAGCTGGTGTCTGGCCCCTGGCCTGATTCTGCTGGGATTGGCAGGGTCCCCATGGGGGTGGCAGCCTCTGGGATTCAGCTGAGGGGTCCCCAGCTCCCAGGGTACCACCAAGATCCATACAGAGGTGGCACCAGTGACCCAGGGCAGCGCTGCTGTCTGGCAGCCAGTGGAAGGGAAATCTGCATGTGACTCATCTGGATCTCATCTGCATATTGCGCAGATCTCAGTTCTGTATGATCTCAGATCTCATATGTGAGATCTCTGCATGCACATATC